CCCTTTTTTGTGGGGATACCTTAGAGGAACTGGGCGTAAAGCTGGGCACTCCGTGTATTGCAACACTCAACTCTCCCCTTCTGCCGCCCCCCCTCCGTCACACACACACCACACATACCATCCACACACACACCTACATACACACACACACACCACCCACCCACACCCACACAAAAGCGATTGTGTACGAGTAAACGTGTGAATCTCTGTGTGTTGATGCACACGAGCGTGAAAGAAAGAGAATGAGATAGATAGGTAGATAGATAGGTAGATATATAGATAGATGAATAGGTGGTAGGTAGGTAGGTAGGCAGGTAGGCAGGTAGGAATGTATGTATGTACGTATGTAGGTAGGTGAATGGGCAGGTAGGTAGGTAGTTATGTAGGTAGGTAGGCAGGCAGGTAAGTAGGTAGGTAGGTGGGTCGGTAGGTAGGTAGGTAGGTAGGTAGGTAGGTAGGTAGGTAGGTAGGTATGTATGTAGGTAGGTAGGTAGATGAATGGACAGGTAGGTAGGTAGTTAGGTAGGTAGGCAGGCAGGTAAGTAGGAAGGTAGGTAGGTAGGTAGGTAGGAGGGTCGGTAGGTAGGTAGGCAGGTAGGTAGGTAGGTGGATAGGTAGGTGGGTGGGTAGGTAGGTATGTACGTACGTATGTAGGTAGGTAGGTAGGAAGGAAGGAAGGTAGTTAGGTAGGTAGAAATGTGAGTGAGACCATGTGTGTGTCTGTGTGTGTGCATGGGTACCTGTGCATGGGTACGTGCGTATGCGTGTACAAGAAAGCTGCACTTATTTGATTGGAAGCGACAAAACACACACCCCCACACTGCACAGCATATAGTCAAATGACGTATATTTTTAAGTTTTAGTAAGAGTTTTACGGCACTTGCAACACAATAAGGTCATAAAAAGTGCCGTGGATTTGAGGTGTTACAAGAGAGTAACGAACGTAAAAAAGAAGGAGCGGAGATAGAGACGATAGATTTCTTTTAGAGGAAAGAAGGAACAAACCACACCAGAGCACCTGCCAACCACCCACTGTTTACACTCTGTGTTCACCTTATCCCATATTCATTTTAACCTCTTAGCAATGACATTTTAGTCTATTGAAAATGATTTCAGTGTGTGTATGTGTTGTAGAGGCTGTCTTACCCCCCCCCTCCCCCCAGGTTTTTGTTACATATTAGGTCACACGCGTTGTATATTTTTAACTTCACCAAAAAAAAAATCCCAGACTACAATATAATCATTTGTCAGGTGCGACAATGTACGCCCAAGACATCATATGAAAACATTTACTGACATAAATTTGATTTCTACTATAGACAAGATCACTTCTAAATGTAGCAAACGAACCAATTCCCAAGCTTTTGCACACACATACACACACATATATAAACACAAAAACACACACATATCACGCACACACACAGATAGACAGAAAGACAGACATATAGACAGATAGATAGATAGATAGATAGATAGATAGATAGATAGATAGATAGATAGATAGA